GGTCCCCGGTGCCATCCCCGGGACTGGAATTGTGTGAGTCAAGAGTTGTCCCTGCCGCCAACGGACGCCCTCTGCGAGCTCCCATCACCCCTTCAGCCCCCTCCCACGCCTGTTTTCGCCCCTCTGCTGGAAAAAGGGGCGTCGAGGGATGCCAAGAACCCCTTCCCTGGAGCGGTGATGCCCCGCCACCTTGTCTTCTGAGCCGCTCGCCATCTCCCCGGCTACCTTCTAAACTGGTTCTAAGAACTCTTCCCCTCGGTGCTAGGGACTCCAGACTTCCAAACTAGTTGGAAGGCTGGCAGTTCAAACCCACCCAGTGGCACCTCAGAAGACAAGGCGCCAGCCTATTGCGACTTCAGCTTCATCCCCCTAGCTGCCTCCTTCCTGCTACATCGGATCTACTTAACTATGAACTCTTGACCTCGCATTGCCTAAACTCTGGGCCCTAAAGCAATCCCAGATATTTCTCCCCACCCCTCAGGCTTGGGGGCTCGGTATTTCCATTCCCTCATCTCACCCATCTCTCAGCTCCATCAGCCCTCCTTCCTGTGTTCCCTCTAAGCCAGGTCTTTGCATCCTGAACATAACAAAAAATAGGAAGTGCCCCACCTGGCCCACCTGTGAGACAGGTCTTGGCACCCCACTAACATTCCTGCCTTCCTCTTCCTGTGGGTTTCTGAGACTAACTGTTTACTGGAGTAGAATGCCGCCTCTTTGTCGCAGAATTGCTGATGGTTTCAAACTGCTGGCCTTGTGCTTAGCAGCCCAATGATAAACCACAACGCTACCAGAACCCTGGGGCGGTAGGCCAAACAGGTAGGGGTGGGGGGGGTGCCCTCTCAAGCTCTCTGGGTTTTTCTCTTATTTATCCCAGTGTGGGAACCACTTTTATGGGTAGGGATTTATATTCTGTTTCTGAATATACCAATAATCCCCAAGTTTTAGGGCTAGATTTAGGGAGTCTTTCTTCTTCTGGCAAGGGAAATCTCCGCCTTTTTTTTCTTCCCTCCTGCAGTCCTGGGAAATCCCCGGGAGATGGGTGGGGCAAAGGGCAATCTCTCCAGCCTAACTGACTGGATTGTTGAAGGCTTCAGCTCCCGCTTCAGGCTGTGTCCGAGAGCCGTAACAGTCACCCAGCCAACTATGTGTCTTAGTTGTCTAGTGTGGACTAGAACAAAAATGCCCTAAGTGAATGGCTTTGACAGGCATTTATTTTCTCACCCTTTGGGAGGCTAGCGGTCCACGTTCAGGATGCTGGCTCTCAGGCAGGGTTTTTGCTGCTGTTAGGGGCCATCAAGTCGGTTCCTGCACACAGACTGCACAACAGAAGGAAACCCTGCCCAGTCCTGAGCCAGCCTCACAATGAAGCTCATTGTTGCAACCACTGTGTCATTTCACCTTGTTGAGCGTCTTCCTCTTTTTCACTGTATCAAGCATGATGGCCTTCGGCAGGGACTGGCCTCTCCTGACAGCCTGTCCAAAGTAGTAAGACAAAATCTTGCCATCCTTGTACAGCAGGGGTGGGGAACCTTTTTTCTGCTAAGGGCCAGTTGGATATTTATAATATCGTTTTCAGACCATACTGATCAAACAGTTAATTAACTCGCCTCTAATGGGATGGCTGGAACTGCTTATTTTGGGTGAGGCGTGTGGTGTTAGCTGGTATTGGCGATTTCTCAGGCCTCCCTCACATGGAGCCCAGGTAGCATGATGGTTACCCATTGGGCGGCTCCCACGAGTCAAGGCGCCAGCTGCTCCACCAGGAGAAAAACAGGCTTCTCAACTCCTGGAAAGAATTACAGTCTTGGAAACCCACGGAGTCATTTAGACCCTGTCCTACACAGTCACGACAAGTGGAATGAGCTCAATGGCAGCAAGTTTGATTGGGGGTGGGGGTTGGGGGGAGTGGATGGGCCCAGGGACTGGACACTGCCCAACTGCGCTAGAGGGATGCATTCTCCCTCTCTGGCCTCTGGAGGAAGCTCTGTCTCTTAGAGTTTCTCTTCCTGGGGAGTCTGGCAGGACATACTCTTTCCCCTCCTCAGCTTCTCTTATTTGCTTAGTTTACCGCCTTCATATCTCTAGAGATTAATTTGGGACACCCCCTACACCAATCCTGTCCCATTAGCATAACAAAGGGGACCCATTTCCAAACCGGATGACCACCACAGCACAGATTCAGATTTACTCACCTTAGGGAACACAGTCATCCGTAGCACCACAGGAGTGGGAGCCCACAAAGGGCTATGCAAGGGGGAGCAGTCCTTATGGGTCACCAACTAGTTGGAAGACTGGCAGTTCAAATCCACCCAGTGGCACCTCAGAAGACAGGCCTGGCAATCTCTTGCTGCCAAAAAGCCACAGCCTTGACAACCCGCAGAGCAGTTCTATTCGGCTCACACAGGATCATCAGGAGCTGGACTCTACCCCGCTGCAGTGAATCTGGAAATCCTTGGGGTGGTGCCAACAGTTATGTGCTCAGCTAACTGAAAGGTTGGAGGCCTGTGTCCACCCAGAGGTACCTCAGAAGAAAGGCCTGGCGATCTACTTCTAAAAATTGTGTCAGCCAATGGAAACTAAAAAAAATTTTTTTTATCATTTTATTGGGAGCTCTTACAGATAGTATAACAATACATAATTCCATTAGATCAAGCATGATTGTACAGTTGTCACCAGTTTCAAAACATTTTCTTTCTTGGACTCTTTGATATCAGTTCCCCTGAATCCCCACCTTACCCCCCAGGAACCCTTATTATTTGTTTGTATATATAGTCATTTATTTTGCGGTATCTTACACTATCCAATGTTTCCATTCACCTACAATCCTGTTATTCATTCCCCTCAAATGGAGTTATACAGTCCTCTAGAAACCAACATTTTAGCACACACTTCTCTGGCACACATGGGATCATCGGCTAGGAGGCAACTGGTGTGGGTATTTTTTAAGTGTGAATGGAGATTCACTTCAGCTAGACCTCACCCCAACTCTGAAAGACTTGGAACCCAAAGGGGGAGGGAAGGAGCTATGTGACAAAACAAAATTAAAAGTAAATGCTTAATTGATAGCACAGTTAGAGATTGCCTTGTTCTTAATTGCTTATAGCAGAAAGGGAGAGGATGCCCCCCGTCAGGGTTACACTAAACCCAAACCCACTGCCCTCAAGTTGACCCCAACTCTTAGCAACCCTACAGGGCAGAGAAGAACTGTTCCAAGTGGCTCCCCAAACTGTAACCTTTATGGACCCAGACGACTGCCGTTCTTCCATGGAGCAGCTGGTCAATTCCAACCACTGACCTTGCTTAGCAGCTGAGTACAGGGCTCACTAAAGTTAGACTACATTAGAGTTTAATTATGTAGACTTTCACCATCAGCAAGGAACATGCCAGACAACCTCTTTGTCTCCTCACTCCCCCTAAATATGAGGGACACCCAGATGATTCTCACCTTCCAAGGAGCTTTGAAGGAGTCAAAAAAGGGCAGAACTGCCCTTAAGGATTCCCGCCTCAAAAACCTCATCAATTCCACCTCCCAATAGTTCTTGGACGGTGGGTGCCCTGGTAGCACAGTGGTTGTTTTGAGCTGGTTACCGAAAGGTCAGCAGTTTGAAACATCAGGTGCTTCTCAGAAGAAGGACGGGGCTTTCTACTCCCTTAAACAACTACCATTTTGAAATCTAACAGGGGCAGTTCTACCCTGTCCTGTAGGGTGACCATGAGTCAGAATTGACCCCATGGCAGTGAGATAGTTCTTGAGGAGACCTGGTGGCATAGTGGTTACAGGTTGGGCTGCAGTTCAAAACCACCAGCTGCTCTGAGGGTGAAAGAGGAGGTTTTTAACTCCTGTAAAGAGTTATAGTCTTGGAAATGAACAGGAGTAATTCTACCCTGCCCTATGGGGTCACTGAGTCAGGGTTGATAGCGGTGAGGTTTTTGAATGTTTCTTGGGTCAACCCTGAGAAGCAGTGAATTAGTTTATACAGCCCTTCTAGCTATAGTCTTTGTAACTCCCATCAGATGACTGGGTATGACTATGTAAATGTGAGATACTTGAAAATATGGATAGCTTGCTAATAATGTAAATCACATACATGTCACCCTTGGGGTGGGACCATGCAAATTAAGTATATGGAACCCTAACCAAATGGTCAGTTTTGCCACCCCACTAGATCTAAAATGAGCCATCCAGAGGTGAAAAGGGACGTCTCACGCTATCCAGAAAGAAGAGGCAGGAGTGGGGCATGTCCTTTGGACCCAAGGTCCTTGCACTGAAATCCCTTCACTGAACCTCCTAGATCCAGGAGACAAGAGTTGGGACAGCAGAAGATCAAGAGAAGCAGCAGTAGAAACAGCAGAACCAGGAGACTGAGCTGTGGAATAAGAAAGCTGAGTGCCTTTGGGCAGGAGGTATGCCAGCAGAGACGGGTGCTTCCCAGCACTTGGTGGAAGAGGCTGTATATGAGGGGGTGGGTGTTCTGATCTATAGAGCTAGAGCTGAGTGCCTTTGGGCTGAGGCTTACTGGCAGAGTGGCATATAATGGGCATATGCCTTTGGCATATAATGGGCAGAACTAAAAGAGCTTTGTAACATGTGCCTAAGTAGGACGGGCCATGAGACCAGCCACAAAGAGTCTGGCTTGATCAAAGAACCATATCTTAAGCATTCCTAATCCTGAATTGTAACCATAATAGACCCATAATCATGAGCAAATTGTAAAATTTGGTGTGGCACTGTAATGGATGGCTGAACCTAGCAGAGAAGTAGAGAGTACCTTGGGAGGGACCTCGGGGTCAGAATAGAGATGGTTGGAGGAGGATGGAGGCAGGTCTAATCTCTACCTCACAGGAATCAGCCTTGGGCTGATACTGATGATTCCTCTCCTTTCCGTCCTGCTGAAGTTAGAGGTACGGCACCACCCTCAACCCACTTGTCCAACCCCCTTCTCCTTTCCCACTGCGGTTGTCATGAATCCAGGTGGATGCTGAGCAGTAAGAACGCTCACTTATTCCACATGCAGAGTCAGTGGCACAGCCCCTTTGGACAGTCTGACGGTTTCTTACAAAACTAAACAGAGGCTCACCTCATGATCCAGCAGTCGCCCAAATGCACCACAACACAGTGCACACGGAAACCTGCCACGGACGTTTGTAACAGCTGTATCCATAATTGCCCCAACGGGAAGGCAACCATGATGCCCCTCACTAGATGAATGGATAAATTGCTCCAGCCAAAGGAATATCATTGAGTGATAGAAACAATGCGCTAGCTGTCAAGCTACAAAAAAAGGCCCTTTGGTGGCATCGTGGTTAAGCACTGGGCCACTAACTGAAAGGATGGCAGTTGGAACGCTCCAGCACTCCGTGGGAGAGAGAGGTCGCAGGCTCTTTCCATAACAATTACCATGGTCTTGGAAACCCTATGGGCAGTTCTGCTCTGTATGAGAGGGTTGCTATGAGTTGGAATTAACTTGACGGCATGGAAGAACCTTAAAAGCCTATAACTAAAGAAAAGGAGCCCAAGGGATGGGAGCTCACGACACACAGAATCCAGGTACAGGAGTGGGAATAGTGGTACCAGAAGAGTAGGGGGAAAAGCGGGAGAGGCAGTGAGAAAGGGAGAACCGATCGATCACAATGATCGACACATAACCATACACCCCTCTAAGGGGGAAGAACAACAGAAAACATGGGGGAAGGGAGACAGCAGTGTGAGAGATGAAAATAATAACAAGGTACAATCTATCAGGCAGTTATGAGGGTGCGGGGTGGGGGAGTGAGGGTGGGGAAGCTGATACCTAGGGCTCGATAGAAAGTACATGTCTAGAAAAGAATGAAGGCAACATATGTACAAACATGCCTGATTCGATTGATGTATGGATTGTGATAAGAGTTGTACGAGTCCCCAATAAAATGATTTAAAAAAAGGAATGGAGCCCGTCTGGGTAAAGGGTGTGATATGTTGGGCTCCTAACCCTTGGCAAGGTCAGCAATTTAAAACTGCCAACCGATCTGCAGAGAAAGACGAGGCTTTCTTCTTCCATAGAGTTACAGTCTCAAACCTCACAGGGGCAGTTCTACCCTTCCCTGTAGGGTGGCCAGGAGTCAGCATTGACTCGATGGCAGTGAGTTGAGAGTCTGAAAAAACAAACTAGGCACTGACTTATTCCAGGCTTAGGACAATGTGGAAAAGACAAAACTATAGAGTCAGATCAGTGATTTTTCAAGGACTGGTGGGATCTAGGGACCAACAGACGAAATCATGATAAATAGCAAAACATTGAGGTAGAAAATGACTTCGTTTTACTTGGATCCACCATGATCCTGAAAGCAGCAGTCAAGAAATCCACCTGCTGTAGTGCCTTGGGAATGCTCACATCTTGCATCGCAAGACCTTTTGAAAGTGTTAAGAACAAAGCTGTCATTTTGAGCTTTGTATGTTGAACCACCAGAACGACAAACTTGGAGGAAGTACAAGCATTCTGCTCCTAAGAAGCAAGGATGGCAAACCTTGGTCTCGTCTACTTTAGATATGTTATCAGTAGAGGGCCAGCCAAGCAGACGGAGACCCTTGACAGGTGGAGTGACACAGTGACTGCAAACCAGTGGGCTGAAAGAGAACAAGCAGATCGTGAGGGCGGTGCCGGAGCAGGCGGTGTTTTGTTCTGGTGTACATGGGGTCGTCATGAGTTGAAGCCAATGTGAGGGCACCTACCACCACCAACAGGGATGAACATGTGAAGGGCAGCATTCTAAGGGCCATGACCTTGCTTGGCATGGGGCATTCTGATGGTGGATACATGGCATAATTCATTTTTCCAAACTGTACAACTCAAAGAGTGAGCCCTCATGTGTCGGGGACTTTTGTTCATAATAATAGAGCCGTATTGGTTCATCAGCTGTAATAAATGTACCACACACCAAGCAACATGTTACTAGGGAGAAAACCTGTGTGCAAGGGAAGGAGCATCCCAGTAGGGAAACTCTGGATTGTGCACTATTTTACCCTCTGCCAAAAAATCTTTCAAAAGTCTTTTTACAAATATGCGAATTAGGAAGATTTTCAAACTTACAGAAAATAAGAATCAATGCCAAAACATAAATAGATAGATGAATGCCAAGGTCCCACCATCCCAATTTCATAAATGTGGTGATGCCAACATACCATGTTGCAAAACTCTCCTTGCTTCTACTCAGTAGTCATGCAGTCTCTATTTCTGTCATCACACACAGACGCACCAAAATCGCCTGCAGATAGCTGTCATAGTAAATTCCCACGGTGATTTGTTTTTTTAAGAAAATCCTGAATTCACTGATGGGGGGAGTGCGAAGTGTAGATCCAAAGCCCATTAGTAGGCCACTGGAGATCCCCTTGCAGAGGGGTCTCGGGGAGGAGATGACCCAGTCAGGGTGCGATGTAACAATGATGAGAAATACAACCTTCCTCTAGCTCCTAAAGGTTTCCTCCCCGCTCCCACTACCATGACTCGAATTCTATCTTGCAAGACTGGCTAGACCAGAGGAGGTACACTGGTACAGATAGGAACTGAAAATACAGGGAATCCAGGACGGATGAGCCCTATAGGACCAGTGGTGTGAGTGGCAAAACAGGGAGGGTAAAGGGAGAATGGGTAGGAAAGAGGGAACCAATTACATGGAACTGTGTGTGACCTCCTCCCTGGGGGACAGACAACCAAAAAGTGGATGAAGGGAGACGTCGGACAGGGCAAGATATGACAAAATACCCATTTATAAACTATCAAGGGCTCATGCGGGAGAGGGGAGTGGGGAGGGAGGGGAAAAATGAGGACCTAATGTCGGGGGTTTAAATGGAGAGAAAATGTTTTGAGAAACGATGTACAAATGCGCTTTACACAATTGATGTGTGTATGGATTGAGATAACAGTTGTATGAGCCCCTAATAAAATGTTAAAAAAGAGAAAAAAACAAAATAAATAAATAAATAATAATTTAAAAAAAAATCCTGAATTCACACCGTCTCCAGTTCATTAAAAAAAATTGTTTTTGTTGTATGTTGTCCAGCAGCTTAGGTTGATGACCCCCCACATACCACAAAAGAAACTTGAATCCAATGTCATCTTCATGATTGTTGTCAGGTTCGAGTTCATTGCAGCTGTTGGATCATTCCATCTCACTGAGTTTCCCTTATTTTCACTGACCCTCTCTACCCAACATGCTGTCCTTTTCTAGAGAATGGTCTCCTAATCGTGCGTCCAAAGTAGGCACAATCTATAGGGACAGCAAGTGAAATAAGGGTTTCTGGGGCACAGTTGGGGGGTTAAAAGGGAGATGATGTCCAAGAGCCCAGGAAGAAAAAGACTGCTTGGAAACTGATTGTGGAGACAACTGTACAATTCTGCTTGACGTGATTGAACCATGGAATGATATATGAATCAACTCCCCAATTAACAATAAATAAATAAATAAATAAAAGGAACATGTAAATTTACTAAGGAGCCCTGGTGGCACTGCAGGTTAGGCATTGGATTGCTATGCACAAGGTCAGTGATTCAAACTCACCAGCCACCCCTCGGGAATGATGAGGCTGTCTGCTCTTGTAAAGACTTCTTGTCTCAGAGACCCGTCGAAGGGTGCTGAGGTGGAACTGCCTCAGAGGCCGTGCACTATACAAGGGCTCCCTAGGGAAAACCGGACCACTAATTCAAGTACAGTACTGCCAGAATGCTAATTAGAATTAAGGTTAGCAAGACTGTCTCACATACTTCCCATGTGTGATCAGGACAGACCACTCCCTGGAAAAAGAAGACCTCAAGAAAATGGATTGACAGAGTGGCTACAGCTGTGGGCTCAAACACAACACCTTTAAGGGCGGCACAGAGCCAGGCACTATTACCTGCTGTTGTAGATGGAGTAGCTACGGGTTGAAATCAACTCAACAGCACCTGACAACAACAGCAATTCGTGTTTCACCTAATAAAACCATTATTATTATCATTTTACCAATATTATTTTTAAGTAGGTATGAAACTGCCAGTCTGAGTCAAGAAAAGGTGTCACAATTTATTTAAATAGAGATTAGCTTCTCTCAAATATCACAGAGCCAAAGCTCTCCTCTTCATCCCATCCCCCACTTCCTCCCTCGGAAGCAACTGCTATCCTATATTGCCATGTATCATTCCCCAGCAGCTTTCTGTACTTTTTCCACATACGTATATTTCCATAAGTATTATGTGGGATTGTTTAATGATTTATAACATATATCATACAGCACATAATCATTTCTAATAATTTCCATTTAACATTTTGTTTAAGGGCTCACCTCTTCCTTGGAGACTAGAACCAGAGAGCCCATTTAACATTTTTATGCTCTCTAAATTCACTTTAAAGTAAAACACTTAAAATTACTATTATTTTAAATGTTTTGAGAATGATGAGGGCAATGAATGTACAAATGTGCTTTACACAAGTGATGTATATATGGATTGTGATAAGAGTTGTACGAGCCCCTAATAAAACGATTGAAAAAAGAAAAAAAAAAGAATTATGATGGTGCGCGGTCTGGGCGGGGCTGGACGGTGGGCGTGGTCTGGGCGGGGCCGCGTGAGCGTGGGCGGGGCCGCGTGAGCGTGGGGCGGGTCCTGGGAGATCCCGAGCTCGGGGTGGGCGCGCCGGGTCCGCCCGGAAGCTGCTGTCATGGTGGCCCCCGTGGTGTACCTCGTGGCGGCCGCCCTGCTGGCCGGCCTTATCCTCTTCTTGACTCGCAGCCGACGCCGCGCGGCAGCAGGTAGGCGATGTGGCCGCGCCAGAGTCGGTGGGACCGGGTTCTCCGGCCTCTCAACCTTTCTAGGCCGTAGCGCCGCGGCCCTGACGCATGCGCGAACTGGGGCTGACGCGGTTCTCCGTGCCGACTGGAGACTCGTCGTACGCTTGCGTGTGCTTGCAGAATCCAACCTGTGCACGGGGACGGAAGTACCCCTACACCTTTTTTCCCACCCAAAACCTGAGCCTCGCCCCAGCTCCTCCTCTCTGCCGTGCGCGCAGATCTCCATACCTGGAGGAGCCAGGTCCCAGCAGACACCCCCTCCCGTCCCTCATTCCTTTGGGCTACTCCCTTCTGTGCCCCTTCCTCCCAGACCAGCTCCAGAGCAGGTGCCAGAGATGAGGCACCTGAGTGTTTTCTGCCCACTCATAGCCCTGGTGGCATAGTGGTTATGCGGTCGGCTACTGACTGCAGGGTCAGCAGTTGGAAACCACCAGACTCTCCGTGGAAGAAAGGGCTATCTCCTCCCACAAAGACCTGGAAACTCAGATGGTCAATTCTACCCTGCCCTGTAGGATTGCTATGAGTCGCAGTCAGACTTGATGGCAGTGTGGTTTTTGGTTTTTTGGTTTTCATAAGCTGGTGGGAACGCCAGGTGGCTCTACAAACTCCCGAAGTCCCCCATTCTCCCCCTCCCCCCAGCGCAAGGGAAGTACCCATGCTGCCTTGGCTGCCTCTACACCCCGCCATTTAAAACACCTTGACCAGAAGCTGTGTCATTGTCCAGGATGCAGACAGATACACCTGTCATCCCCCTCCCTCCAATTTCCTGTCAAAAAATATAAATTTGTGTTGTCTGCCTCCCTCTATGGGACCGTAGGCTGTTTGAGAGCACCTGTGGGCCTCCAGGACAGGGGATCAAGGCCCTCCGGTAAAGTAGACAGCCCACACAGCCTCCTGGGAGGGAGGTACAGGCCCTGCCAACAAAGCAACACCCCGGGTACCCTGCAAGATCCCAAAAATAAACCCACTGCATGGAGTCCATTCTGACTCCCAGCGACTCTACAGGACAGGGTAGGGTCCCTGTCCCTGTCACTTTCCAAGACTGTAACTCTATGGGAGTAGTAAGCCCATCCATTTCCTGCCAGGCAAGATAGCCGTGCTTTAATGCCGTGGGCATTGGGGTGAAGGCTGCAGAGGCCAGGGTGGCTTTCTGTGGAAACTGGGGCCTCAGCCCCATTTCACACAGCAGGAAAACTATGGCTAGACGAGCCGGAAAGGCAGAGCCATGAGGGGTGAGACGATGTCTGCACAGATAGAAGGGGAGGGATGATCTTGCTGCACAGAAACAAGGGATACACTTAGGACGTCAAGGCCTCCATGGTCAGATTGGAAATTTGGGGCTCTCTTCTGTGGGCCCCAGGAGCCCAAGAGGAGGTTCAGCAAAAGAAGGTGAGCCCTCTAGGATGCTGCCCCTCCTGTCATCAGGTGGGCCGGGTATCTTGGCAGCATCGTGGTTCTTCTTTTCCCTGCAGCCAGCGGAGAACCACAGCATCATGAAGAAGAGCCAGTTGGAACACGCCGGGAGGTCCAGCCTGGGCATCAGGAGTCTGAGGGCAGGCCCAGGCGCCGGAGGGACCTGGGCAGCCGCCTGCTGGCCCAGCGTCGAGCCCATCGGATGGCCCAGGCAGAGGTGGATGAGGACGAAGAGGAGGTAGTCCCAGGTAAGGGCCCAGCCTGGCAAGCAAGGGAGCTGGAACAGGCGGAGGGGCATACCCAGACATGGGTGAGGAGTAGACTGGGAAGTCACAGTGTGGGGCCCTGAGGCTGGTTTGAAAGAATGCTCCCTTGCCAAGTACTTGGTGGCTGGCTTACACCTGAGAAGGGAACACTCGGGCACTAGGAGCTTTTGCCCAGTCCCCTTGGGGATGAGCCCCTCGCGTTCAGAAAGAGGCCCTCTGTTAAGCTGCTCTGGTCATCTGGTCTTTATAAATCGACTGGTCCATTTTGTTGCCCTGGGCCTTCTGGCAGCTAGCAATAGCCCTAGCCAGTAGCTGGGCCCGGGACCTTCAGTGACTCCTGACTGTAGAAAAGAGGATTCAGATTTGGCTGCAGTAGATTTCCCAGGGGTCCCCCCTCCCTGTGGGGGTAGGCTTAGAGACAGACACCGGAGACCTCTGCAAGCCCAAATGGCCCTGCCAGTGATCCTGAAAGTCGAACCCCACATCTCCCTCTTTATGGCTATGCAGCATCAAAAACTCTCATCTGTCTCCTTGCTGCTGGCTGGGTCATACACACACACATGCCACGGCCCAACCCAGGGTAAATTTCTGCATTCATGACACATGCCTCTAGAGGGCAGATCGGGGCTTGTGATAGTCACAAGTGGGTGAAGGCAGTTCCTATCAGAGGAAAGGGATCCCAGTGAGGAAAGAGACACTGGTCCCCTATGAGCAGGGCCTGAAGTGCCTTTTCTGGCCACATCCAGCCCAGGAGGAAGAGGGCATTGAGAAGCCAGTGGACACTCACCTGTCAGGAAAAATTGGTGCCAAGAAACTACGGAAGCTGGAGGAGAAACAGGCTCGAAAAGCCCAGCGGGAGGCAAGTAGGATGGGGGGAGATGCAGCTCTGGGTCTGGGGAAGCCCCTGCCCACCTGTTCCCTGAGGTGGGACTTGCCCTTGGGGTCTTTACACACCCAAGGGGCCACACGTCCCCAGCTTGCCTGCCTCTGCCTCTGGCCTCTGCGAGGTGGGCCACGTGGGGTCATGGATGTGTCCCCTCTTCGAAGGGGGGCTTCCCTTTCTCGGTGGTGCCAATGGCTAACTAAAATATTGGGAGTTTTAGTCGGCCCTGCGGCACCTTGGAAGAAAGGCCTGGTGATCTACCTCTGAAACGCAGCCATTAAAATCCGAGGGATCCCAGTCTACTCGGGCATACCCCGCACGGCCAGGGATCAGTCGAACTCTGGGTGGGTGTTTTCTCCCTCCAGGCAGCGGAGGCTGAGCGCGAGGAGCGGAAGCGCCAGGAGTCCCAGCGTGAGGCCGAGTGGAAGAAGGAGGAGGAGCGGAAGCGCCTGGAGGAGGAGCAGCAGGTGAGGCAGACCCCCGACTGATCTGTTCCCCATCCGGGCAGCCCCACTTCTCATGCAGCTCCCCAGCACCTCCAGCCTAAAGGTGGGCCACCATCCTGGGTTATCCGCTCCTGGTGTAAAGCTAGCTGTCTCAGGTCCAGACCCAGGAGGGTGGGCCAAGGTGTCTGGGGAGTGGGCCCCCGGTCTGTGTCAGGCACATGTAATCTGAAATCCTTGTGAGATGCCCAGGTGCCGCATGGACCGTTGTGTGTCTAGGACCGGGGTGGGCAGTGCAAGGGGGGCAGATCTGCCCCCCCCCCCCAGCATGGCAGTTGATCTCATGGAGGACCTGGGCCAGCTGTCCAGGAGGAGAGGAGGGCAGGGCCAAGTGATGAAGAAAGTGGGGAAGAATGGCTCAGGAAGCAGGAGGAAACCCAGGAGAGGCTGGGAGCCAAGGGAGGGATGTGGGACGGTTGCTCTGCCCAACCCCACCTAGAGGCCAGGGCCAGGAGGCCTGCAGGGTGTCCCTGGGATCAGAAGGAGGACAGTGGTGAGGCCATCCCAGGCCTTGTTCCGGAGGAGGAGGAGGGGACATCCGATCAGAGTGGGCTAGAAGGGTGTGGCATTAAGTGGGTCGTTTTGTTGTTTGGGTTGTTGCATTTTTACCTTTCAGCCACTGACTCACACTCTGTGCGAGTCTCTGGAGAAGCGTAAGAACAAAGGAGGAAGCCAGAAGTTTCCCAGGCCATGTCCAGTTGGTCAGGTCGCAAGGAGATCTTTCAGCTGGGCACAGTAGAGAATTTGATCTGATGGGATCAGACCACGCGTGGCTCTTCTCCAGGTTCTCCTGTTGGAGTTGGACCTGATTTTGGTACTGGTTTCTGTCAGATCCATTGCAGGAAATGGAATGATCCTGCTTTTGAGTCTTGGCCTGATCTCCCTAAGTCTTATGGGAAGGTATCCAGAGTGTGGAAGGCGGCTGTACCCACCAGGATGGTGGAGAGAGGGAACGGGCTTGTGGCTTATGGCATGGTTTCCAAGAGACTTTTACTGACTAGAGCTGAGCCAGGAGTCCAGGGGATCGGAACAGAGCAGCATTTGCCTGGGATGTGACCCTGCTGAGGAGAAGGAGGGCTGCTACCAGCTGATCAGCTTCAGGGAGGTAGGAAGGAGGGAAGCGGGGCCAGGGTCTTGAAGACACTGTCGGAGAAAGGCCTTTGTATCTTCTGGTACCCTGAGGGGCCAAGAGCAGGGATGGGGAGGCCCCTCCCCCAGTCGCTGACTTGCAGGGCCTCTGTTTCCCAGGAGGAGGAGGAGAGGAAGGCTCGGGAGGAGCAGGCCCAGCGGGAGCACGAGGAGTACCTGAAGCTGAAGGAGGCCTTCGTGGTGGAGGAGGAGGGCGTGGGCGAGAGCATGACCGAAGAAGAGGTAAGGTCCCCACCCCCGGGGACTCTCCCCTGTGCTCACCAGGGGGTCAGACGAAGGCTGACCACCCTGCTCAAGCATCGAAGGCATCACTACCAGCAGGCCCTATGGCCCAGAGGCCGTGTAGAGCCTGGAGCTCTGAACCCCACACCAGGCAGGCCCTGCTGCCAATGCAGACAGGCCATAGCAGCCCCCCAGGGGGCGAGGCAGGTGGGTAGGTAGTGGCCACAGCAGGGTGGGAAGGCCCCGAGCTTCCAACCCCCTGCAAAGCAAGCCCTCACTGTGATCTTTCTGTTCCTCTAGTCGCACAGCTTCCTGGCGGAGTTCATCAGTTACATCAAGGTGAGAACCCGGGCCCTCGTGCAGAGGGGGAGGTGCTTCACTGGGCCCCCTGCAGGAGTGGTCTGAGCGGCCAGGCTCCTGGCCAGGAGAGGACCTTCTTTCCTCCCCGACCCCGAAGGTGCAAAAGGACCTGGCCTGTGTGGGTGGCCAAGCCTTTGCTGGCCCTCCCACCGCACACAGTCGAAGACGCCCTGCTCTTTAGAAACCCCTGCTCCGCTCAGTGACTCACTGTGCTTTTGAGCTCTTTCACGTGTGTCTCCTGTCAGTTCTGTCAGCCTGCAGCTCCCCAAGTCGAAACCAGTGTCCCCGCCATGTGGCCCTGACCAACCAGGGAGCTGGGGTCTTGCCGGGGAAACAGGATGGTGTTTCCCGTGGGATCTGGGGTGGGGTGGCAGATGTGTCCCCTCCTGCCCACAGCCTCAGTGCAGGCGGCCACGGAGTGATGCGGCTCCAGGTTGCATAAGCAGCATGTCCCGCCTGGCTGCTAAGCAACTTCTTTTCTCCCACCAAGGATGCTATGCGCCCGCCCCGCCTAGGGGAGAGGTTTTCAAGTGCAGCTCAGAGGTGCAGAGGCGGCTGAGGGAAGGAGTGCAGAGGGAACGGGGGCGAGGGTGGGGGTGGTGCTACATTGGGGTGCCGAGGAGCCCAGGCTTGCATAACTCTGCTCCCACCCCCAATGCCCAAAACAGAGTTTAGCCACCTCCCAGGAGTACCTGGGGTTTCTGAGAACACCGGCAGCTTCCAGGGGGTCCTGTTGCTCTGTCTTTCCTCTGATGGAGCCTATCCCTCCTCCCCCACCTCCATCCTGCTTCCACATAGGCAGTTGGGGGCTGTAGCTCTTGGCAGGGTATCAGTCATGAAATTCCTGCTGCTTCCTAGAACTCTCAGTCCCCACCGACCCAGCGGGCAGCAGCGTACTTCTGACATCCGGCCTTCCTTTGGGAAGCTCCTTCAGGACGCCTTCCCAGGCGGGTTTAGAGGTGGTCGGTGATAGTGTCCTCCCTCCTGCAAGCTCAGTTTCACTCGGGGAAAGCCCCGGAAGCCACCCTTTGCTGGGCTTCTCCAGACCCCTGGAGCTAGAGATGTGTGCTCAGCCCTGCTGGCGGCTTCTCCTGGGGCGGCCCCTCCCCGCTACCCGGGCTCCGAGCAGGGTGGCGTCAGGCGTCGTGAGGGAGGGTCCACTCTCCTTTCTGACTTTGGCAGGGTTGGATTGTTTTCACGCAGCTGGCCTCAGCACCACGTTGGCCATGTCGTCAAGGTCCCCCTGGGTACGCCCTGTCCCTGCTCCAGGCTGTCACTGAGAGCCAGTGCCCGCTCCCTGCCTTGTTGGGAGAGTCCCGCTGGCCAGCTCCTCTTGTGCTCACCCAGCCCCTGGCCCAAACCACCACCCGCTCACCTCCCTGCCCGCACAGACTGATGGCATCTCTCTCAGCCAGCACATGCCATCTGCAGCCGGGGAGGTGTCGCCATCCACTCCTCCCCCAGCGTATTTGTTCTCGAGGAGGGTACATGCAAGTACAGAAGCCCTCCTCGTCTCAGGTCACGTGCTGCCTGGGGAGCCAGCAGTGGGCCCTCGGCTGTTCCCGGCGGGCGGGTGAGCGTGTGAGGGAAGCACCCGGATTGTGGCTGCACGTGTCATTGTTCTAAGGGGAGGGGGGCGGGACTGGGGCCTCAGACAGTGTGAAAAGAACCGGAGGGAGCAGCGTGGGTGTGTCAAGGTTGTCGCAAACGTCAGGCCCCGTTGGGGACGAGCAAAGGCACGGCAGGAGTCGGCCCCACCGCCTCTCCCCATAAGCCCTGGCTTCCTCAGGTGCAGGCTCTCCTGTCCCAGCCGCCAGGCTCCGCACAGAAGCCATGTGATGTTCACCGTGCCCCACCCTCCCCCAACACACACCTCTTCAGGGCTTGTCCTGCCAGATCCTCAGGAAGCACAAGTCCACGCTGACAGCTTTTTAAAATAACTTGGGATGTCACCTCCTCCCCATTATCCCGACACCGCTTCCTCTTGCAGTGAGTCCACAGTGTGAGAGGGAGGGCTGGGTACCAAGGCGAGGGGGCAGCTGTGCCTTGCTTGCCGGCCCAGCTGGTGGTTTGGGGTAGATCCCACCTGCAAACAAGGCAGTGAGAACGTCTGAGTGTGTGTTGAGCCTGGGCAAGGGGAGGAGGCCCTCCCCCCGAGGATGAACGCAGTGCCTCCAGCCCCCAGACCTGGGGGGCCTGATCATGTCCGGGATTGGCCCATGCTCACCTCTCTGCCTTGCCCTCCCTTGTAGCAGTCCAAGGTGGTGCTCTTGGAAGACTTGGCGTCCCACGTGGGCCTGCGGACTCAGGTATGCCCTGGCAGGTGGTCTGCACTGTGGACGTAGCCACGGGGTCTGTGTGACTGGCAGAGGGAGCAGGTCCTGAAAGTGGGGGCAAGGGGCATCTTCGCTGACCTCTCCACCCTGCCGCCAACCAAGAATGAGTAGTGTCGGGATGGGGGCCTTGCTGCTAAACGGAAGAACAGACTGGGAAGAGAACAGGCCAGATTCCTTCATATTCTGCCAGCCCCATAACCAAAGCAACCCAGATCCAGTTACCTTGACAACCTCCATGTAAGCAAATTGAACCAGCCTTCCTGGCCAGGTACCCCGCTCCCCTCTTGGCTGGAAGAGGGCCTTTTGGGGAGGGTTGTACGGGACCACAAGGCCAGACCTGCCCTTCCCAGGACTCCTCCAAGGGAGAAGCAGAGTCGTAGTGGGCCACGGCCAGGTGAAGGAGAGGAGGCCGGCCAGCCACTGTGGGCGGAGGGTTGCCAGTGTAAGGTTGGTGGTTCAGACCCACTGGCCTCAGGAGAAGGATTGAGGCTGGCTGCTCCTTAAAGATTTAGGGTTGGAAACTCTATAGGGTCCCTATGAATCAGAACTGACTTGATGGCCAGTGGGTTCAATTTGGGGGGTTTTTTGTTTGTGTTTTTCTGGGGGCAGTGGCCCCCATCTGCTCTGAAATCCCTTCTCTCCACAGGACACCATCAACCGCCTCCAGGATCTGCTGGCAGAGGGCACCCTGACAGGTGAGAGGTGGGGCTCTGCCACACCAGGGAGTGCAGGCGCTGCAGAGGCTTGTTGCGCAGGCACCCCTGATACTGATGGGCAGGGGTGGGTGGGGTGTGAGGGAGAGGCACTGAGCAGTGGGCCACAGTCAATAAGGAGGGCAGGCAAAGAGGCCAAGACTGGGTGCAGGCAGGGCAAGAACCTAGAGGACGCCGAGCCAGTGGTGAGGGGCAGGTGGGGGTTCTTGGGACAGGCAGGGAGGGCCCAGGAGGGCTCCGTAGCACATCCTGCAAACCGGGTGTCCCCACAGGTGTGATTGACGACCGGGGCAAATTCATCTACATCACCCCGGAGGAACTGGCGGCTGTGGCCAACTTCATCCGACAGCGGGGCCGCGTCTCCATCACTGAGCTTGCCCAGGCCAGCAACTCCCTCATCGCCTGGGGCCAGGAGCCCCCCATCCAGACCCCAGCCTGACCTGAGCCTCCTTTCCTCTGGGACCCTGAGCTGACTTGGTCTGCCTGGCAAAACACCCTCCTGTTCCTCACCATCCTCGACAGTGACAGATTAAAGAGCCAGAAGTTCATCTGAACTTGGTGTGACTTGGTGTGTGACAGGGACCGGGAGTAGGGTCTTTGGTGTGCAGATAATCATCAGATCCAAGCAGAGGGGCAGGTCTCTTGGAGGCAGGTGGGGAGTCCTATCTTTATCGCATATTTGTTTGTTCTTTAAAAAAGTTTTGGGCATGCACTGTGTTTCTTTGTGCAGGCAAGGCCAGCCCCCAAGGCCTAGACAAATATTTCTCTCCCTATCCCAGCCCCAGAGCAAAGTAGGGAAATCTCTTGGCCCATGTCCCTAGTGGAAGAAAAGGGTCACATTTTAGTTACAGATTCTAAATTCTAGAACCCTAAGTAGGGCCAAGAATCATCCCTGAGAGGAGCTCTTGACCGGTGCCAAGGGCACCACCTGAGCATGCAGCAGCCTGTAAGGGAAGCCGAGGCTGGGGAGGAGGGGCTGGGCCAGCTGCTGGCGGGACAGGGGAGGGCCTGCCATGGAAGGACATTGCTCATACAGCAAATCACATGAATTCCACTCTCCCCCTCGGCCAAAAAAATTGAAGTGGTGTGGGTGGTCCCATGCACTGCTGGATGTAAGGACCATATGCTGGGGCGTGGGTGCTAACTAGAGATGCGCGGCTCTTAGGGGTCAGTCACTCTTGTGCTGGTGGGCTGTTCATGGCATGAGCACCCTGCCGTGCTGAGGGTGAGGCCTGGGTTGAAAGCGTGTATTTTTCTATGTATGGCAGCCCCCGAATACAACACCCCCCACTTCCTCTGGTGCTTAGTGGTGGAGGAGGTAGCTTTCAGTTCCAGCCCAGAAGGAAACCGTCTGTGGAGTAACGTGATGTGGAGACAGCGCCAGGCTCCAGGATGACGCCTTCCCAAGGGCTTGTCAAGGGCGATGTTGACTCACTGCTGCCGTAGAACCTACGTCCCAAGGACCGTGAGGTTTGCTATTTCTGTTGGTCCTAGACCCGTGGCATCACTTGGAGCTGTGAAGGGTGACACGCATGGTCTGGAAGGCCACCTGGGAGGAGGCCTGGACTTGGATACCCACAGTGTGAGGTAGACATGGACATCCTGAGGGAAAGAAGGGGCGGCTGCACCCCAGAGCCATGCAGTCAGAGTCCGTCATGCAGCCAAGGTGGAGGGCCAGAACCGGAGTGGAGGGAGGGTGGAAAGATAGATGATAAAAGTTGCAAATAAAGCCTCACAGGAAGGAACTTCTAATCCCGCCTTAGAGCCTCTTCTGCCCTGTCCCAAAGCTGTAGCCCTCCGGGCAGCACGAGGTCTGAACAGCCCCACCCGGCCGCCTTCAGCACAGTGCCCAGAGCCCAGGAAAAAAAGGCACATCCCTTCCTCACGTCCCTGGGACCTCCGGGGTCCATTATGTCCCTGGGGCTCAGTGGGAAGGGAAAATGTACTACTGCATTGTTTATCAATCAGGGTATGAATCTGGTATGTTTATCAAAGTGATCAGTTCTGATAGTCATAAATAAACATCTTTCCAAATATGTACAAACTGCATTCACAACTAACAAATGAAAACAAGTTTAATGATTGTGTTTTGGGGAACATTTGAACATGGTCAAATACTGTTAAGCATTTCTCAAAATCCCCAAGTTTAATATAGGAAATTATTTTAAATGCCTCCCTCCCTGCCCGCCCCTCCCTCATGAACCCTTGATAATTTATAAGTTATTATTTTGTCATGTCTTACACTGTCCAACGTCTCCCTTCACCCACTTTTCTGTTGTCCATCCCCCAGGGAGGAGGCTATATGGAGATCCTTGTGATCAGTTCTCTCTTTCTCCCCCACCTTCCCCTTCCCTCCTGGTATCACTACTCATTATTGGTCCTGAGGAATTTATCTGTCCTGGATTCCCTGTGTTTCCAGTTCTTATCTATACCAGTGTACATGCTCTGGTCTAGCTGGATTTGTAAGGTAGAATTGGGGTCATGATAGTGGGGGGGGAGGCATTTAAAAACTAGAGGAAAGTTATATGTTTCATCAGTGATATACTGCCCCCTGACTGGTTCGTCTCCTCTCCGCCAGCCTACTGTAAAGGGATATCCAGTTGCCTACAGATGGCCTTTGGGTCTCCACTCCACACTCCCCTCATTCACAATCTGAGCACTAGTTTTTATTCCTTCCTGAGAGTACAGTTCTCACCTACCTTAGGACACTACAGTTACTGTACTGGCTGAGGATGTAGATGTAAATGGCAAATGAATTAGGACCAAGGAGCTAGGGTTTCATTGTGACTCTACCTGAGCCCCTTACCTGTTTATCAGCCCCTTTTCAGAGTTAGGTTTCCACCACCACAACCCCCCATCGGGAAATTTTGAATGTTGGCTCCAACCGATTAGATACATTTTTATTTGTGTTAACCCCCAAATGATGGCTGTTCTGGGTACCTTATCTTCATAGCCCAATCCAACTTGGATCTATCTTGATAACCCTGTAATCCCAGGACACTCTGGTCCATTTTGGCCCAATCACAACTTCTCCTTATTCTGGGCCATCAAGATCTACGTTATTGACAAATTCTGTAGGAGAAAGGAGCCCTGTATTGCTGTGGGTTAAACCCTGTGCTGCTAAACTCAAAGTTGGCAGTTCACACGCACCAGCCACTCTGCTTGCATTAAGGTTTACAGTCTCAGAAGCCCTAGAGAGGGTCACTGTGAGGTGAGATTGACTTGATGGCAGTGGATTTTTGATTTGGGGTGGGGAGGTTGGTGGTTAGAGAGCCATCTTATACAACTTACCTTTTCGACATTTGGCCCTGGATTGAAAGCTCTTGAAATTAGGCAATTGTCACCTGGGGTTATATTAACCTACTGCCAAATATATATTAAATTCCCCATAACAAACATTTTAAAAATAAACCTTTAAGCCTTAGATGGCTCCATGTGTCCTTGACTTATGCTCATGTGTGAAGCCATTCAGTCATTGATCCAGCAATTGCGTGACACTCCCAGGCTACCACAGTGACATGGTGCAGGCCACATGTTAGCTCTTTGGAACAACAGCAAAAAAGAGTAAAATCCAGAGTGTGTTTCAAGAAATATTTGACAATTTTTGGAAAGCCTACTGTACAGGTTACGGTGCTCTAAAACACTACAATGAGCAAAACGTGGTCTATTCCACAAGTGACAGGCGGTGGTGGTATTCATCTCTTAACAGGACACTGACTCAGCCAACAGATGAATGGCCAAGTGTCTCAGTATAGGAAAGGGACCCACAAAAATGTGGAGGTGTTCAGGCGAGAGGATGGTAGGTACAGAGATCTGTTCCCTGTGGGGACCTGGAATATTGACGGAAGAATGGGAAGGGCCAGAGTCAAAGGAGATGGAGGTAGAAGGGGAGATTGGGGCTAGGCTAGAAAGGGCTTGGTGAGCCAGGGGGAGAGTCTCTGATGGTAGTGTTTTGATTCAGTAACTCATATCTTAACCCCTCTTTTTTTTTTTTAATGATTGCATCACACAGATTATCTCCACTTCATCAACACCTCCTTCCAGTCTCTACGGTATTACTCAAGGGTACCACATGGAGCCTTCATGAATGCAGGCCCCCAGATGCCCCTAGCTTCTGCCCCCAGCCCCAAGACTAGATGCTAACTATTCCACTACACCCATCCTTTCAATCTTTCTCACACAGTATTTCTTAGTAAGAAGCCCTCTTCACACGATACGAATACACATTCAAATGTGTATAGATATAATCGAGGTACCTAAGCAAAGTCAAGGTTTCACAAAACAATTCTTCATGGATCATGCCTTTGACACAGGTTGATATTTGCTTCTCTAATTCATTTCACTGCAATTAAATTTATTTTACAACCAACGTAACAGGTCTCAACCTTCTGTTTGAAAAACAGGGAGTTGTGGCAGTTATCTTCAAAACAGGACCAAGCTTCAGTATCGGGATGAAGAGCTGCTAATCTATCGTACGTGACTTTAGATAGTCACCAGTTGGCACCAGAAGCAATTTAGACTACTCTTGACAAAGGAAAACATTTTGACTTGGATCATCCTAAAGTTATGTGTCATTTTTGATTGGTTAATATATTGTTTGATTCATCATCACAGCAAAATCAGTAAGGAAACCTCCCTCATAAAGTGAACCTACTAAGTCCTGATAGCCCTACATTAAAGTTATTTCAATAGACTTTCACATCTGCTCTGCTACATTCACCAGGCCTCCTTTCTCCTGTACATTTACAACTTGACTGGCACGCGATTCTGAAGACCACATCCAGAAAGGAACAGTGGGACAGTGGTAGGGAAGCTAAGACTGGTGAACCGACTATAGGGAGGAACCGAGACAACACTTCTGTTGCTTTAAATGAATTTTCCTTTAACTTTCTCGTGACGTGGGTAAGTCAGGCCACTGTGTTCTTGAGATAAATTCCACAGTTCCCAGTGTCTGCTTCACCCCACTGTGTCGTCGTGTGGGCACCTACTTGGTGTCTGGAACAGAGATAAAATGCCATGGAAGAAAAAGGGTTGGACATCATCATCAGGGCATGTGATTTTTTTAGTTAGTTTGTTTTTTCACATCTCAGTTACTGTCCCTGCTGGGTGGCAGTCATGCCAGAAAATTTGCCAAATGATGGGGGAGGGCATATGGGAACTTTGGGCTCTAAGATCAGGTAATAAAACTTTCATTGACGCACCATCTTGTCCACCTGCAGTAACCATGTAAATTATTTATAAAGAAGGCTTTTGGCTGGACAAATTTCCCACAGATTTCACAAACATTAAAATTTCTGGTAACATTTTTAGAGCCTGTGTGTTTTCCTTAAGATGATTAAAGATGTGGGCATGGCCGGAAGCAACATCATGGTAAACGGAGGGCACTGTTAAGGATCCGTTTCACTTGAATCCACAATCGATGCCCACAGAAGCAGTAGCGAAGAAACCCAATGACAGAGGGCGCTGAGCAAGTCTGCCGTGAAAGACCTTTTCAAAGTGGCTTTTTTTTTTGTTGTTGAAGCAAAGCTGTCACTTTGAGGACTGACCCAAGCCA